TAACTATAAGCCCTATGTTGACCAAACTTGCATGGATGATACATCTAAGGATGCATACTATCAGGCTTGCTTCAGATGCTGAATCTGACCTACATTTTCCGGTTGAGTGAACAGGTTAAATTTTTTTGGGCAGGTTTTATTTCCAAGTTACTATAAGCCCTATGTTGACCAAACTTGCATGGATGATACGTCTAAGGATGCATACTATCAGGCTTGCTTCGAATGCTGAATCTGATCTACAATGTACATTTTACGGTTGAGTGAACAGGTTAAAGTTTTTGATGCATAATTCATTTCCAAGTAACTATGACTTCTTTAATGACCAAACTTGCACGGATGATACATCTAAGGATGCATACTACCGGGCTTGCTTCAGATGCTGAATCTGACCTACATTTTCTGGTTGAGTGAACAGGTTAAAGTTTTTGGTGCAGGTTTCATTTCCAAGTAACTATAAACCCTATGTTGACCAAACTTGCATGGATGATACATCTAAGGATGCATACTACCAGGCTTGCTTCGGATGCTGAATCTGACCTACATTTTGTGGATGAGTGAAAATGTTAGTTTGTGATGAATGTATCATTTCCAATTAACTATGAGCCCTATAATGAGCAAACTTGCATGGACGATACATCTTAGGATGCACACTAATGGACTTACTTTGGATGCTGAATTCGACATACATTTTTTCAGATAATAGACCAGGTAAAAGTTATGGGTGCAGGTCAATTACCAAAAAACTTGAAGGCTTATATAACATTGTATAAACCAAACCAAACTTGCACAAAGGTTGCATCAGGAGATGAAAACTCTCAAATTTGCTTCAGATGCTTAATTTTAATTACATTTTCATGAACAACTAGTTTAAATTTTTTATGTAGGTCTATTTCGATGTATTCGATCAAAATTGCTTAAATATTTTCATTTCTGGAATGTACACTTTTTGTTGGTTAATTGTGTGACTTTGCCTTACTTAAAGACAACATTCGTTGAGGTGAGCTCTGTAATCTCTGATTACCTATGTTTTAAATATTGAAAGAGTTCTGAAAACTTGTCATGCATCAAGTGTTTTGTTGTGTTTCTTGTTGTGTTGGTAAAAAATATACCGTTGCTTTAGACTAATTCTATTTATACATGTAACCTTTTCTGCCCAGAAAATGAAGAAGGCATGTAACAACTTATGAGAGTGTGCCAGCTCAATTCATTTATAATGCATTTAGATTTACAAGTACATTTATGTCAAATTAGAAACTCTATTGGTTTGACTTTTCATATTTTCAAGAACACTGCTTGTCTTAGATTTCAAATCTCCCTCCATTTTTTTCAAATATTTAATGAAAGCAACCTACGTACACTGACTAATGGAGTATTCAACTAGCGGTCAACTGCAAAGGAAGAAGAGGAGTAATCAACTAGCGGTCAACTGTAAAGGAAATAGTGGAGTATTCAACTAGCGGTCAACTGCAATGGAAAAAGAGGAGTAATCAACTAGCGGTCAACTGCAAAGAAAACAGTGGAGTATTCAACTAGCGGTCAACTGTAAAGGAAATAGTGGAGTATTCAACTAACGGTCAACTGCAAAGAATATATAGGAGCATTCAACAGTGGTCCACTCTATGCAAATGAGTTGACCGCTCCCTCATTTGCATGGCAAAAATTCAACTAATGGTCAATTGACGGTCAGTTGACCGTCAACTAGTAGTCAACTGAATCCTCCGATTGAATTCTAATAGTATTTTTTCATGTACTGCAATCTCGGAATGAGTTTACCTTCACGCATATGTCATCCTGTAAACTGTTCATTCCGTCTGAAAATATTATATGCCACTTAAATACTAGTAAACGACTTCTTTTACTATGTATTCCCTATTGTTAACAGAATGTATTGGTCTCTGTAGGTGTTTTTCCGATGTCTACGCAGAATTTTATCACTGTTCACTGCTCCACCTATTCCGAAAACGTCTCTTTTTTGAACGATTCCAATCCTGTCTTAGTATGTTTTATCTTTGATTGCTTCGCCGTTTGGAAACTTTGAACGTTCATATTTTGCAGATTTGACGTGATAGCTTCTGTCAACCTCATTTTGTAAAATTCTTTCAGATATCCCCAGAATTTTATAAAATACAGATGAAATTTATAAAGTGATAATTATTTTTTAAATTGAAATTTTGCAGTGCTCCGTGTCTCCATTCCAAGTCTAATTATGAACCCATAATTGTAATTAAACATTTGAAATTGAATAAATTTTTACATTTTTCAATTCACATTTAGTAAAGGATTAGAAATATGTCAACAATAAATATCAATGACACAACTTTTGCTAAATTTTTAGCTTGTCCACGAACTTTACGGACAACCCTCGTACATTCAACACTTGGAGATAAAGTATGCTTTTTTAAATGTTGAAGATCAATTTTATACGCTTTTTGATTTCCTAAATGGTAAACAATAGACTCATGAAAACTGAGAATAAAAGTAAAGGAATATTATACATTTATTGCAACATAGTGACGGAAATATGAAGACTTATTCAGCCAAGAAAAATCATATTTTAAAATATGATTATGATATTTCTTGTCTAAATAAGTCTTCATATTTCCCGAACATTCATGCAATGAATTGTTTATTATACTGAAACAAGCAAAACCTTTGAAAAACATAAACTTTCAAATTCGGCACCGCTCTCAAATTCACTTTCATTTTCTTACGTAAAGCTACTACTTGTATAAAACCCTTTGTTCAACACATTATCATCAGTTTTGGGACGTAAACCAGACTATGGTGACGTCTACTTCTTTCGGGAGTTTTCGTTCAAAGAACGAGAACTATATTGCGGGAAAATACGCTGGGTGTTCCGAAGACGGTCGGGAAATATTATGTTTTACGGCCCGATCACGTGATCACTTAGAACCAATCAGTGACGCGTTGTTTAGAATATTTAAAATGGGGTATAATAATATTTTTTGATATTGAAACACAAAGTTCTGAAACCGGTAAGTACATAATTAAGTGTTTATAAGTGACAAAGTTAAATTTTCTGATTTGTTTTTGTTTTATCGACAGATTGACATGATTAAATATAATTAAAATACCGCTTAGTTATAAACAGCTTTCAATTTTAGATTTATTTAATCTATTTAAGTTGTATCTTATGTAATTCAAAAACATCAATCTAAAATGTTGATCAAAGCAAATGATAATGTAGAATTGATAATAAAATTTTGTCTTGAACACTAATGAAGATTTTGTTTAAAACCATTGATAACTAGGCCAAGGTTTACAAATTAGAAGTTTAGAAGTAACAGATTTGGAATTGGTCTATAGGGTTATATTTACATTTTAGTAATGTTGAGTAAAAATGCTAGTAATAGGCAAACATATGCTAGTAATAGGCAAACATATGGTCATGGATTAAAGAGAAAAAAACCAGAGGCTATCGAAGTCCTACTTGCCCTTCATTGATAAACATATTTATTCTGCAATATTAATGCTTTCACTAAAAGTTCGGATGCCATTAGCTTTACTTTGTAAAAGTATTATATGCCTTTTTGAAAAAGAAGCAGAAATGTACGAACGCGTATTCGTGACAAAAGATAATTGTTAACATACTTAATTATATTTAAGTACAGCATGATGCTTTCCATTCTTTATCCGTATATAGATTTAAAGTGACTGTACTGCGCATTTCATCAAAAACAGGCTTATAAATTTTTTTCCTATCAATTTGGAATTTTTTACGACTTTTTTACTTTAAACAAATCAGCATGGTGAGAGAGGTAATCCCGGTTTTGTTTAAGAAAACTACACATGCGTATATGGCTTGGAATGTGGAAACTGAACACGTTGCGATGTATATATACATGTACATTTATGGGCCATAAATAATTATTAATTTTCATGAAATAATCAGAATTATTTACTTATGGTATTTTGTAATTTTCCTAAAAGTGTATACATTTATGAGTAGTAAATAATTCCAAATTCTATCGGAAAATTTTTATAAGCCTGTTTTTGATGAGATGTACAGTACAGCCACTTTAATTCTATGTACGGATAAAGAATGAGAATGCTGCATTGACAAAGACGACCAAAATGAAACTGAACATGGGTTTTGGAGAAAAACAACTTCCTAACAAAAGTTTTGTGAGATTAAGTCATCACTCACTCTTTGGGCTCGCGAGGGTTCTTCTCTACAGGTTTGTTGATACATGCCATCATTTGTCGTATCTCTGTTGCTTTCAAAGAGAAAACAAAAACAGTGTAAATGCAACATAAAAATGCACCCATTACATATAAAACTATTGCTATATTAAGTGTAATTTCTCATAAAACTGCAGTAATAACTAATTTGTGGAACTTCTCAGTCATTAACATTTTCGGGTACTTTCGTGAACCCAACTCAAAGTTATTGTACTATCGCAGAATTTCAAGAAACCGCCTTTACTCTCTATTTTCATAAACAACAAGACATTTAGGTATATTGCACTTTGCCACTAATGTGACTTTAATTATAGAAAATACTTGTAATTAATTATGTAATAATTGATTATGAAATCCATAAAATTATTTATAAACAACTTTTTATTTGTATCAAAAATTCATAACAGAATGAAACGGAATAATGAATATGATTATTTTGTAAACCGTGATTACATAATACATGTACATTCATGGCGTATACATGTATATATAATTGATAACAAAATATATCAAACATTCTTGTGGTCTGAAACGTTACCGAAAACAACGTAAAACACATTAAACACCAAGAAAAGAAGATAAACACAGAATTAAACGTCCTTATAAAAGGAAAAGGTGGCGGGTTGGAGGCGGCTGAAAATAATTGAAGCTATCCAGCACTTAAGCCTTAAAATGGCTCAGCTGAGCTAAAATGAAAAGGCTAGAGCTGTCAAACTCAATGCCTGACTAACATTGAAAAAAATGTAATTTCAATTCATCTGATTTTATTGATTAAGAAAATAATGAAGAAATCTTACCAGTTTTTTTTTCATACAGTTCTTGTCTTAAATCTTGTGAGCATCCGGATTCCTGTAAAATGCATGTATACTTCATAGAAGATGATAGCCATTTGATTTAAAATAATTATACATACCCGTGCAGTTAGCATGTTTAGATTACCTTTCAAAATTCATTGTTATAAATTACTAGGATATGGAGATTAAGCATGTTAAGAATATAAACCTTTAAATGTTGTTTACTTGGCATAGTTGCAATATTTTTTTAATCTTATGCTAAAAGACATGGATTGATAAAATCAAAGTTAGTTTATTTGTTTTCAATGATAATTTGAGCTGGTTCTCACCATATTCACAAGCCTAGTGACTGATTAGCTAGGCATCTATATATGTATATCCACTTTTACCAAATGACAGGGCTGTGAAAATCATATCAGGTAATGGCTTATGCAGCAACTATTAAAACAATCAAAACATGCAAGATAAGAGCTGAAAATGGTAATGAACATGCATTACAAAATATATTATTAATTACATACACATGTACATCATACTCTGTAAATGTAATCTTGAACACAGGTACTTGGGTCGTGGTTTATAAATATGTATAATGTACCTTATTGATATATAAAAAAAAGTAAGTTTTTTTATTTATCAATAAGGTACATTATACATATTTATAAACCACGACCCAAGTACCTGTGATCTTGGAACAAAGGAAGGTACAGGTAAAATTCTTTACATCAGTTCGATTCCAAACAAAGAAATTCGGGTTAAAATCCATGACTTTAATGATATGTTTAGACTTGTTAAATAATAATTACAGAAATAGTGCTTGTCCAAACGATTTCACCATCAGGAATTTTATGTATGGTGCCAATATTAATCAACAGTAGCAGAAGCATTCTTCATTCAATCAAGGACACATAAAATACTGTACAATATTGTACCTACCGGTCTTTAAAATGTCTTCATCTTCTTCCATCCCAAGCTAATAATCAGATTATATCATGATCCCCAAGTTCGTGACACTCTCGTTCAAACTTTCCGTCTGTGCAACATCAACATCAACATGGCATTCGATATTTTGAATTTCGGCGTGTTAAAATTAATTGTTCATCGAGCCCGACTTCGATCCCGATGTTATTGTACTATTAGTCGACAGTTTAAAAAAATCTTAGTAATTTTCCATAGTTTTCCAGCGCGGAAAATGGCTAAGTTTCTCATTTGACCATTTTTTCCAAAGAATTCCACTACTTTCCAAGCCAAAAAAAGTCTAAGTCCAATTTTTCTTTCAAATTCCAAAATATTCCAAAAACTTCCAGACACACTTTTCAAGTTATGTATGGAAATGATTGGAATTCCATGGATTTCCAAACCTTTTCCAGACCCTTTGGAAAATCTACATTAGGGGAGTCCGTGACCTTATCAATTGAGCTACGGCTTCTTTTAATTAGCCCTTGAATTAAAATCAATCAATATGTAGAAATCGAAATGGAACATGGTTCACCTGTTGTATCGAGGAGCTGCGATGTGTATATATCTTGTATATATTTTGTATATTCTATGTTTATTGCGCGGATTTTGGGGACAGACTGATTGATTACACATCTCTTCTCGGGATGATGACAATTATCGGCGACGGGCACCTGTTCTTGTCAAAGAAATCTTCTTCTCGGAGATCGAACTAGAGATTTACAGAAAAAAAATAGACAAACTCATACGACATTTTATGGAATTTTGCTTCGAGAATCGGATCATTGTTTTTTTTATCACTTGAAGAATTTTTTTTGTTTTTTTTTTAAAATCTACTCGTAACTGGAAAATTAAATATCTTTTTTAATTTTATATGAGTCCATATTTTTTTTTTATTTTACGTGTTTTGTTGAATTGTTATTATTTTTTTTAACATAAAAATAAATAATTGTTAAGACATATTTTTAAAGTCTATAATAGCAATTTAAACTTATACCAGGGAGTATACGGCATATCTGATCTAAAAAAAAAAATACAAGATCAAGTGCAGTTTTACAGGATATTTGCTATATTTATACGTTTAAATCAAATTTTTCGCCGAATTTGAACTTAAATATCCCCTCGTTTCTATGGATAAATTGACTTTAAACTGTGTGTGATATTTAATTCCGAGTCAGAAATAAATCGGTTATTATTTTAAATCTTGGATATCTATGAAACACGATTGATTTAAGTTGTATAATTTACAAGAGACTTTTCAATATTAAAAGTATCAAAAGAAATAGAAAGATCGTTCTTATTGTAGTTAGTCCGAACGTATAAAAAATATGCCATATATGTCTTTTAACATTGGATAAACATTTGAAATACAATTGGACATCTAAGTTTAACTATGATTACCAGTTTTATTTAGGTACCTTTATGACGATAAGAAAACAAAAACACAGTTAAGATAGGATAATAAATTTAGGCAAAATATTTTTAAGGAAAAACTACTGATTAAAAATTATTAAGCCAGTGAAAAAAATTGCTGAATTGATACCAAAATGTGTACTAAAGGATAACGGAAAGGTAACAGAAAGACGACGGAAAGGTCACTGGAAGTTGACTGAAAGGTCACTGAAAGTTGACGGAAAGATCACTGAAAGTTGACGGAAAGGTCTCTGAAAGACGACGGAAAGGTCACTGAAAGACGACGGAAAGGTCACTGAAAGTTGACGGAAAGGTCACTGAAAGATAACTGAAATGTGTATGCTGAATGGTGACTGAAAGGTATCTGAAATATGACTGAAAGGTCACTGAAATGTACCTGCCATTCAGTGGCTGAATGGCAACTGAAAAGTCACTGAAAGCCGCCTTTCAGTTTTAACTGAAAGGTCTCTTTCTTCCTGTGATTGTCTAAATTGACCCACAGTTTGTCACTATTTCAATGAAACACAGGGAAAAGTCAAATAGTTTTTTGTTCTCCCGGTCAACTCAAGCACTACGGAAAAATTCAACAAAATATTCATGAATACTAATAAGAAGCATCATATGGGACATCATATGACACATACACACAAACACATGCATACTTCTGTATCATTTTTGTGAAATTTATTTGTAACATATAAAAGAATGTCACTTTAAAACAACAGGTTAATCCTTTGCCATTTGTGTTTTTTGGCGTGTTCTAGTGGGCACGGAGTTCTCCTTGCCGCACTTTTGTCATGCTACTATAGTATATAGATAACGGATACTTGTCATCAGTGCAAGAAAATAGAGGTAAGGGTTCGTTGAAAAAAGCCACTCATTCAATTCCTCCACTATCAATTTTAATCCAACTTCCTGTCTCCAATGACTTTTTGTCTGTTCATAGTCTTACTGATTCGGGGGGGGGGATTGTCTGTCTTTTCTCTCTACTGATTTATTTATAAACAAGTTTTAGAATCCTTCAAACTCGCTTTTCTTTTGTAAGATACAAATACCTCCTGTTATTTCTTTGCAAAATGTTTTTATTGTTTTATTCGATGGTGATTCATTTTTTTTAATTATTCGACGTAATATTTAATATTACATAATTGAATAATTTCCATCTCTCTAATTGGATTTATTTCCTCTACGTTGATCTAAGAATAGTTAGGGCAATTCCAAATTGAAACAAATTGTTTTGGAAAGCTATTTAAACGACTATGACTCTTTTTCATAAGAACAAAACATAAGCGAATATACATTTTCGGGTTGGGGTTGTAAGAGGGGATGCAGGGACCCCCGCCAACTTTTACTGAAAAAAAAAACAGTTTTTACTTTATGGCTGTCAGTTTTCCCTGATAATACTCCTTCCTTTCAAAATCTATCTTTATTTTTTCATGGCAACTAAAATTGATAATAACATTTCAAATTGATACGACTAATAAAGTTTATTTACATTTTAATTCTGCGTCTTTCTTGTATTTGGCTAAGACTTAATTAAATGCAAACAAGTAATGAGCTGTATTATTTTATCAGTAAATCATATGATAAAACAATTATTGCTGTTTTTTGAGGTCAATTCAATGATTTAGCCATCTTCGTAGTACAATATTCAACATCGCCCTTCGGGCCAGGTGAATATTTTTCTCTTCAGATGGCTAAATCATTATATTGACCTAAAAAAACAACAGCAATAATTGTATAATATTTGCCCATAATAAATTGAATGGCAATTTTATATGCAAAGATTTCTAAATTATGGCGTGTCGTCTTGAAAAAAATGAAATAGTTTTAGCCTTGCATTTCCCAAGATAAAGAAAACTGTTAATTTCATCCCGTTACTAACTAATCAATCCTTTATTTGTTATTGCATACATGTACATGTACACATGTTAATAAATATTTATACAGATTAGACAAGCTTTTTGTATGTTTCATTTTTATACTGCATACTGTTGAATATATCTTTTTGCTTGTTTGTAGTTTGCTACTGCAAGCGCGTTGAGATTTCTCTGTCAAACAAAACAATGTAAAAAGTTTCATTAATGTGTTGAATGGTTTTGGCTGCTTCTTTCACATCTCCAAGATTTGCCATGGTCAAACCTTACCATTCTTAGATAATCAGCCAAACTTGGATGTTCATCATAATCACATGTTTTGATGCTTTCTGTAACTGACCAGTCAATGCAGGGTCATTTTTGCTTTATCGACGCTATCAAAAACAGTAAAAAAAAAAAAAATTGGCACACTCACCGTAATACGTAAAAAGTTGACTGTCTTCGGAATGACGGTTTATTCAAAAGGTATGGTAATTTACTTTCATCCACTATATTTCTTTCGAAGACAGTCAACTTTTTACGTTTTACGGTCGGCTTTTCCTCTGTCACTCGTGCCAAATTAATGCAAAAGAACAACAGAGAGCTTAGAATTTCAAAACATTAAATCTGTAAAAATCGAAAGTTTTATTTCCAAAATACTTGGAAATGTCGCTAGAATCCTGAGATAAGCATGCTTTTTTCTTTATTTTTAAGGGATGCTGATAATTTGTAAATTAATCTTTTGACATGCATTTTTCCTGTTTAATATGTATTTTCTTTATTGTCTCATTAAAGTAGATTTCACTTATTTTCAGTATTTACGTGCCGAATCGACATGCCTCCACCTTGGGAAAATAACAAAATAAAAAGAAAAGGAAATGAAAAAATAAAAAAAGAAAACAAAATTATTTGAATGACAAGTAAACTTAACAGAATGAAATACCTCTATTATTTTGACAACTTTTAGTCCCATGTTCTATTCTTTGTTATAGAAAGAGTGTTAAGATAATAAATATCGCATTCTTATGTAGTTCTTTTTTTATTATTTCAAACCATACATGACAAAAAACATTTTTTAGTAAATAACATCTCCGAACCAGCCACCCTCAAAACTGACTTTCCCTTAACATAGGGCAGAATTAAACGTCCAGGCAAAATTTTTGTTTACTCATAAATTCTCATAAAAGAGGCCACTTCTGAAAACCGGACATGTATATGAAAATAACAGAATGAATCGACAAAATATTCTGATATTACATTGTAGCACCAGGGAAATAGATTAGGGTATTCCTAGTAAATGTTTTGAAACAAAAATACAATTGATATTTCAAAAATACAATTAGAACAAATACAAATGTACTTAAGGTAGATCACGGGTTTGCTGACGTCACAATGGGATTTTATGTTTCCTCGTGCTGCACAATCTCAATGCAGCTCTGTTTTCAATGGTGTTTGCTATATAATCTAATAAATTCAACACCACGATTGAGAAAAAATATGTCATTTATTAAAATGACAAAATTGGAAAAAAAAAATATACACATCACATGATAGGGGATCAGATCAAAATGTAGTCGCACAAATACACATTCAAAACCTTATGCAAAATGAAGTAGCAGTACTGTGAGCAATTAGCTCACTAAATGATACCCTCTGTCTCTCATATGAATATAAAAAAGACAGTGTCCATGTTTTGCTATGTGAAACCCAAAATATGTGTTGGATCAAAAAGTAAAATAGGAGATGCACAATGGCAATATGTAATAAAGATTCTGTGAAATTTTATCAAATTTCATTCAGTGGTATGAAAGGAATTGCAGATAA